AAGAGCTTGGACTGGAGGTTCCATTTGACCCAGCCATCCCTCTGCTGGGTATCTTTCCAAGAGAACTAAAAGAATCATATCACAGAGAAGTATGTGCACCCATGTTTATAGCGGCACAGTTTGTAATAGCTAAATCTTGGAAACAGCCTATTTGCCCATCCGTTGGAAACTGGATAAAGAAGTTGTGGTTTTTCTATAAAATGGAATATTACTCAGCCATAAAGAATGAGAAAATAGATTCATTCATAGGAAAATGGATACATATTGAAGATATACTCCTAAGTGAAATAAATAAGTCACACATGTGTAAATACTGAATAGTTTCCCTGGTGTGAATAATCTGCAACAATGCATAAGATTCTAATTAGATTACTGACATTTAGAAATGGGAAGAAAGGAGCTAAATGTGTAGGGAAGGTGGGATGGGTAGGGGAAGAGGAAAAAGGGAAAAGAAAAAAATGTGAGAGAATGAAAAGATGAAAATAAAGTGTTTGTAGATGGGGAGGGGAGGAGGGGGTGAAGGGAGGGCAGAGGTAAGGGGAAAAAATGAGAATCAAGACTTGTCATGTAGAGGTACATGATCCCAACAATGAATGTAACTGTACTGTATCCCTAAAAAGTACCAATAAACTCAATTAAAGCTGAAAAAAAAAACTGAAAAGCTTTTGTACAGTAAGAAAATAACCAACGGAGTGAAGAGACAACCCACAGAATGGGAAAAAATCTTTACCAGCTACTCCTCAGACAAAGGACTAATATCTAGAATATCTATAAAAAACTATTCAACATCACTGGTTATTCAAGAAATGCAAACAAATCAGCTAACAGTTTATACCTAATGTCATCTGGGCAGCACATTCATTTACATACTGATTACCTTAAGAGTTATTATTCAGGCAGCTATCATTTAAACCAATCAATTCTTATACTGAATAAACTTGATAATATTGTTATTTTTATATTTCCTTATATTATCTTATAAAATAACAAAAAATATGCAATTTTTGGTCATCCTGTATTTAAATAATTGGACTGGTAAGTGAGGAAAACACTGAAATTCCATTTATTTCAGAAAGAATGGTTATCATCAAGAATTAATCAGCAGCAAATGCTAACAAGGATGGGGAAAAAAAGGAACACTTCTCCATTGCTGGTGGGAGTGTAAATTTGTACAAACAGCATTGAAATCAGCACGGAGGTTACTCAACAAATTAAAACTAGAGATTGTTCCGTTTGACCCAACCAGTCCCCATCTAGGCATCTTCCTGAAAGATAATCAAAGCTCACCTATGTTTACAGCAGGACAATTTCTAATAGCTAAATCTTGGAAAGAGCTGATACGCCGATCAACAGATGAATGGATAAAGAAAATGTGATATTTATATATGAAGGAATACTTACATAAAGGATATTTGTATAACAGTCTGCCATTAATTAGGATAAACATGAGACATTTTGAGGTAAATGGATGTATCTCAAGACTATAATTTTAAGTGAAATAATCAGACACACAAGTTTAACTACTACACATTGCTTCTTTTGCGTGACAAACTCAAAGGGTAAATAAGGAGCAAGTTGGAGGATATTGGGAAGAAGGAAGAACTTCTTCAAGAGGGGAGGGGAAAAAAGAAGGGGTAAGGAGGAAGAGAAAGGAAAGGGGATTTCAAAAAGCGTGAATGGGGGCCTGGGATTTAGCTTAGTGGTGCCTCCACCTGCGAGGTCCCAAGTTTGATCCCTGGTACAAAAACAAAAATCAAACAAACAAACAAAAGACAAATGGAAATGGAAAGCAAAAAAAGGAAGAGGGGCTGAAGGAAGAGGAGGGGAGCTGGAAAAAAAGAATTAAGATAGCCAGGGATTTAGCTCAGTGGTTCTGCCACTCGCAAGCCTCGAAAGCCTAAGGTCCCGAATTCCTGAGTTCGATCCCTGACACTCCCCTCCCCCAAAAAAGAAAGAAAAACTATGTTTTTTTAAAAAGAATTAAGGTATATCATGTACAGGTACAAATTCCCCATGATTCATGTGATCATTATGTATGGCAAACATGTGCCAATAAAAAACATTTTCTAATAAAATTGTCTCCACCACCACAGTACTAGGGATTGAATTCAGAGCCTCTGCACTCAGCTATATTTCACTAAATTGCACAGGCTGGACTTGGATTAGCAATCCTCCTCCAGCCTCCCAGAGAGCTGGTATTACAGCCATGCATCACCACACCTGATTTTTTGATTAGCAATCAATTTCAATGTACATGATAGGAAGAAAAAAAAAGAGCTGATATTTAACTACTCAGCAATTACAGGGCAAATGGAAGAAGAGTTCTGAATTCTTGTGAGGGAAAGAGAAAGCAAAAGGAAAGGTCAAGAATCAGTCCTTGACCATGATGATGCTATTAATTCACATAGTTAGACCTGGAAAAGGAGTCAAAACTTTTCTGCCCAGAAATTTTAACAAACAAAGCTAAGAGATAATTCCTACCCCTCTGCCAACAAGGCAAATAGTATACAATGTAGTCTTTTCTCCTAAAGCGCACTGGGGGTGGTGCCTAGAATTATAACCAGTAAGTCTTAGTTACCATAGCACACAGTACATTTGGTGAATTCGCCATAATGGAAGAAACAGATTGCTCAGAGGGTTGAAAACTGCCTTCATTTGAATTAACTAAACAATATTACTAATTGAATTTCTACCATTTATATGAAAATTCTAAATAAAGGAAAAAATATCCTAGCTAACTGATGGAAGCAATAATTGTTTCAGACCATTTAACTTGCAGAACTCTCTTTCTAATTCATGTAAGAGTCAATCAACACCTAACCCGAGTTCATTAGATGGGATGTGAACCAATGGCTACCGATATGCAATCAATGATTCCTTTAACTATATGTTCCAAGAAGCCTCAAAATTCATAGTCAAGCATCATATGGCTTTAAAAAAATTACTTCCTCTCAAATAATTTCAAATAATCATAGTATATTTCTGAAGAAAAAAGTCTTCTACAGACTGCAAATGCCACTCTATATCAATAACAGTTCCTACATTCCCAAGGATGCAATGGAGACTCCATTAAGCACCCAACCAGAACTAAAAGTACTAACATTAGAAGAGCTTATGCATAAGTTAATTATACTGCAAAACAAAAATCAGTTTAATTATCTTTTTGAGCTTAATTGTACATCATGGTCAATATGGGATTAGGCTAAGAATGAGGAGAAAGCAAAATTACAGAATAGGAAAACTGGAGAGACATAATGGAAAGGCACAGCAAAAAAAAAGGGGGGGGGACAACTAGGATAGGAAGAGGAGGCTAGATAGGTTTTAACGCTGATAATAAAGCACTCTGTCAACTTCATTCCTTAGGAATGGCTATAGGCTTCAAGATATCACTGCTGTTTAAGAACTCAAATATTAATTAAAATGCTAAATAACTGATTTATCACTCCTCACAGCCTTAAGCCTATAAACTTTCCGGGAATATAGCCTTATAAGCACCTGTATCACAATCATCTAGGTTACTCATAAAAATGCTGATTACTAAATTAAAAAGTAGGCTAGACTTAACGAATCAATCTCTTGAGTCGAAGCCAGGGGGTTCTTTGTTACACCAAAGGTTGATTATTGTTGCTTTAAAAGTATACTTTTCTTCTTGCTCTTAAGAATATAGTGATTGAACACATGAAGTACAGAGTGTACTACCAGCCCTTTAAAAAAATTTTATTGAAACATAATCTTGGTAAATTTCCCAGGCTAACTTCAAACTTGGGATCCTTCTGTCTCAGCCTCCTGAACAGCTGGGATTATAAGTGTATACCCAGTTTAATTTTTTCTTTTAATGATAGCATGTAGACACTAGATAAAGAGTTTAAACTGACAGCTACATGCCTTTAAAAGACTTTCCACTCTTAACTTCTCGGAAGAACCAGACATCTCAACCTGCTATATAATATAGCAAAAACAGTACCTGGGTTTGATGTAGTAAATAAGCCTCATCTACTCATATGTGTTTGGTACTTTGTCAAAATTTAGGCCATACACACAGACACACAGACACACACACACATGCAAGCATCCCACACTGACCTACATTCCCAGCCCTCATATTATTTTTATCATTCATTTTAACCTAAGTATGCAATCCATTCTTCACTATTCATAATTTCTTCAAGATAAACTTTCCTCTTTTCTAAATTTCAGTCACCTTTATGAGGTATTTTCTTAAGAGTAAGTAAAAGCTTAATTAAGTTGTTTGGTGATGATTTTGATGATAAGAAGCAACCAAATGAGTTAACCAGTGATTTGAAAATGTGTCCAAGGTATAGTAGCTTCGTTTTCTTCAGAGAGACAGTGTGCTTGTTGAACTTCTACAGCCTGAACAGAATCAGTGGTTTCATTCATTAGTTATTTATTTACTTGAACATACATTACCAAGCCCTCTTTCCCAACAAGAATTTAAGTATGTGATGATAGAGCCCATGCTTCTGGCCTTTACAC